AAAAATTGCTCTCTAAATATGAATGACTTATTAGTGTGAAGAAAATAAGGTTTATACGAGCTTGTGATATGGAAGAAATAAAAGCGGACTGCATAATAAAGGTCCCTATAACAAGTGGCAATACAACGTGACGTTCTTTTGCATTAAGATTTTGTGCATCCAACCATAAAACGCATGACAACCTCTGCTTCCCTCTGCGAAGGGCCTATTTTTTATTTTTACCTTCTACCCTTACAAGAGTCATGGTGATCTTCACCTTTCCTTTTTATACTTGATCCTTTGTCAATCACTATATATATATATATATATATATATATATATATATCCACTTGGATGTAGCTTTTCATAAATTATTATTGTTGACATTACCCTTGAGGTAAAAGGTTGGGAGGCGAAACCATAAGCCCCTATCTTTCTCTGTGGCCGACTGAAACTCCATACCCATAAGTATCGCATGAGTGTTAGCAATTGTGAAAGATTAAATGATAGTTGAGTATGTGGGCTTGCTGAAAAGCTCTTATATTGTATCTTTCTGATGTTATGCTAAATTGCAATTGCTTCAATGACTGAGATTATAGTTTGCTAGTTTTCAATGAAGTTTCTAATTCATACTTTACATTGTGAATAGATTGTTACTTTAGCATAAGAAATCATATGACAATATATATGTTGTTGTTCTAAGAATGATCATGATGCCCTCATGTTCGTATTTTATTTTATCGACACCTCTATCTCTAAACATGTGGACATATTTCTCGATATCGGCTTTCGCTTGAGGACAAGTGAGGTCTAAGCTTGGGGGAGTTGATACGTCCATTCTGCATCATGCTTTTATACCGATATTTATTGCATTATGGGCTGTTACTACACATTATGTCACAATAGTTATGCCTTTTCTCTCTTATTTTACAAGGTTTACACAAAGAGGGAGAATGCTGGCAGCTGGAATTCTGGGCTGGAAAAGGAGCAAATATTAGAGACCTATTCTGCACAACTCCAAAAGTCCTGAAACTCCACGAAAGTTAGTTTTGGAATATATTAAAAATGTTGAGCGAAGAAAGCACCAGAGGGGGGCCACCGCCTCGTGGGCCATCTGGTAGGCCCCCGATGCCCATCTTCTTCTATATGGTGTCTTTTGCCCTGGAAAAAATCATAAGGAAGCTTTCGGGATGAAGCGCCGCCGTCTCGAGGCGGAACCTGGGCGGAACCAATCTAGGGCTCCAGCGGAGCTGTTCTACCGGGGAAACATCCCTCCGGGAGGGGGAAATCGTCGCCATCGTCATCACCATCGATCCTCTCATCAAGAGGGGGTCAATCTCCATCAACATGTTCACCAGCACCATCTCCTCTCAAACCCTAGTTCATCTCTTGTATCCAATCTTTGTCTCAAAACCTCATATTGGTACATGTGGGTTGCTAGTAGTGTTGATTACTCCTTGTAGTTGATGCTAGTTGGTTTATTCGGTGCAAGATCATAGGTTCAGATCCTTAATGCATATTAATACCCCTCTGATTATGAACATGAATATGATTTGTGAGTAGTTACGTTTGTTCCCGAGGACATGGGAGAAGTCTGGTTATAAGTAGTCATGTGAATTTGGTATTCGTTCGATATTTTGATGAGATATATGTTGTCTATCCTCTAGTGGTGTTATGTGAACATCGACTACATGACACTTCACCATGATTTGGGCCTAGGGGAAGGCATTGGGAAGTAATAGTAGATGATGGGTTGCTAGAGTGACAGAAGCTTAAACCCTAGTTTATGCGTTGCTTCATAAGGGGCTGATTTGGATCCATAGGTTTCATGCTATGGTTAGGTTTACCTTAATTATTCTTTCGTAGTTGCGGATGCTTGCGAGGGGGGCTAATCATAAGTGGGATGCTTGTCCAAGGAAGGGCAGTACCCAAGCACCGGTCCACCCACATATCAAATTATCAAAGTAACGAACGTGGATCATATGAGCATGATGAAAACTAGCTTGACAATAATTCCCATGTGTCCTCGGGGGCGCTTTGCTTTATATAAGAGTTTGTCCAGGCTTGTCATTTGCTACAAAAAGGATTGGGCCACCTTGCTGCACTTTAGTTACTTTGTTACTTGTTACCCGTTACGAATTATCATCACAAAACTATCTGTTATCGATAATTTTAGTGCTTGCAGAGAATACCTTACTGAAAATCGCTTGTCATTTCCTTCTGCTCCTCATTGGGTTCGACACTCTTACTTATCGAAAGGACTATGATAGATCCCCTATACTTGTGGGTCATCATGCCGCCGCCAGCAACGCCAGCTTTCGTTGGACTAGGCATCTATGCAGTGCGAGGGGCGACGGGGGCAGGAGCGAGCGAGAAGGGAGAAGAAGGGGGAAATGGAGATGCGGCAATGAAAACAGATGAGACCGAATGACGCCGTCTAACGTCGTGTGATGGCTGTCGGGACGGCCTGGAGTGCCATGTAGGCGAAAAATGAGCCCCACCTGTCATAAACTCACTTAACACGGCCCGATCTGCCAATCAGTGGTTTTTGCAAAACCATTACGCTAGATGTGGTGTTTTCTGCAAAGATATTGTATCCTTGTGTTTTTCGTAAACCTAACCCTCAAAGTGGTGGTTTTATGCAATTTACTCATGCCAGTGAGATTGACAATCTCACTAGTTCTATTTGGGGAATCGTTGGAGAACGGCGCACCGTACGAACTTTCCGCATGTCGCGACGCCACGCTGGCGTCGTGCGCCCACGCAATCACCCCCCGCGCGAGACGCGTGTATTTGGTGGACCCAGGCAGACCGCCCCTTCCTGCCTTATCTTTTCCCCTCGCACTTCATCCCCTACCTTCAGCCACACCCCTCCCAGCGTCATGTTTCTTCTCTCCCTTCCATCTCCTCCTCTGCCCATCCCCTTCCTTCTTCCCTGCAGCAAAATAAGGCGAGGAGGGGCACAAAAAGCTGGCGTGCGACGCGTCCTGGCCGATGCAAGCAACCTTGCGGCAGCTGCGAGCGAACGCCATGGCTGGCTTCGAGCGCTCCTCTCCATGGTCGCCGCAGCCGAACGCGCTAGTCGCCATGGCTAGCTTTCGATTTCCTTCCGTGAGAGCTGCATCCCGGATGACGGTGGTGGTGGTGGAGCCGTTCAAGCGATGAGCTTCAACCGGCAAGGCCAGGACCTCACTGACCGGAAAGCTGCAACCGGCCACACAATATGCTGGAAGCGGTGTTCTCTGGAGCTGGAACCATCGTCCACTTTTGCTGCAATCAGCAACCGCCAGGGGGTGAAGAAGGCGAGGTACGGTGCTACTACCAAAGAGTTTTTTTGCTGGAACCGGATCCTGGAGATGCTGGAACCATCTTCTATTTTTGCTGCAACCAGCAGCTGTCGGGGTGAAGACGTCGAGGTACGGTGCTACTATCATATAGTTTTTTTGCTGGAAGTGAACGGAGAAAAGGTTGCAACCTCTATTGCTCGGTGATGCAACGGGACGGCGTCGAGATGTGTTTTGCTGGAACCGCAAAAAAAATGCTGGAACCCATAAGAACTTTTACTGGGAAGATACACGAGAATTTTTGCAAGTGGTCGACGCGATGGTGGTTCTTTTTTGCTGGATTCAATGATTTTTTTGCTGCAACCAGCATGTGATTTTGCTACTACTCGCAAACTAATGAAGTTTTGTGTTTTTGCCGAGGACAAGGTGCTTCGAACTGAACGACGGTGACGAGCGGAGGCGCCGGCGGTGCCTCAGGGATGTTGCAACCATGGCGACTAGAGCTGGAACCGACCGATGGGCGAGCTGCAGGCGTCAATGTCATGTGGCGGCCGAGGGATGAGTGCAGGTGGCACGGGTGGCCGGCGAGCAAGAGACGAGTCCTTTTTGGTGCCGGGGCCGGCGGTGCAGCGACTAATCCGGTCGAGGGGGGAGCGGCGATGCCTCCGGCGAGGAGCGGTGTCGCGGCAGGGGACCATCTGTAGATTTGGTCAACGGGCACAAGCAGGAGGAAGGGCAAGGGCACGGGGTGAGCTGGGCGTCGGGCGGAATCTAACGGCTCCGTAGCTCGCATCGTATGGCTGGGGTGCGACCGGCCCAAAGTTTGGGCCGGTGCACCGGCGCCTATCATCCCCCTTCTGTTTGGGGCCAAGCCAGTTTTGTATCTGTGTGTGTAGGTGTTGATCATCGTGTGTGTTTCTAAACTCTTGTTGGTTCGATAAACC